GGTTTTTGTCATCTTCTGATTGGTCAACTTCAGATGGATCGCCAAATCGTCTCGTTCAACCGCACATACACCACGAATTTAAACCGACAGCATCCAATTTTTTTTTTTACATGATTGATAAATTATCGGGAGGACGGGAGGTGCTCGTAACGTCTCGGATCGGGCCGTAATTCTTCTCACACGGTACGAGCCGCGAGCATCTGCGATTTTCTCCAGAGAGAAAAAAATCACCTGCGAGCTCGTACGACAGCAAAAATCGCACCGTGTACGCCCGCCTTAAGACTATTAAGCATTTTCGTCTCAAGATAAAGACTAAATCCAAAATGCCTGTCAAAATTAACACTGGAATTGGTAGGAAAACAATAGGAAAACAAAGCTGGACATTTTAGGCACTTTAGAAATCATGACCATGACATATCTGGGAAAAAGAAACCAAACATCATTTTTGTGTGATGAGCAATGATAGAGTTGGAATGTTAAAGATTTACTTATCCCACTCCCTTCTAAATTGTGAAAGAAACTCTGTTCTAAGCGACTAAAGATGATTATGACATAGTAAATTAATATAGTAAATTAAATATAGTAAATTAAATTAATATGATAACACATACCAGTCTGCATTATCAAGCAGCATAACAGACCAGATGACACCGGAAGCCTTGAACATTTAAGTTACAAATGGCTGTACTCGCGATTACATTAAAATCGAAGTGTCCACTTTCCTTTAAACCTGGCCTGTAACAATGTGAACACAGACAAGCACAGAAAGCAGAATACAAACAGTGAAACATTGCAGTGCTGTTGTACTAAATATCAGAACTTTCACTGCTGCTCATCCATTTAAATTTGACAACCATAACAAACTATTGTATAACTTTAAATAAACTACACAGTAATAGATTTTGACTGTTTTTTTTTTTTTTTTTAAATCTCTTAGACATGCTGACTTAAACTAAGCAAACAACAGAAGCATAGTGTTCAATAATTGTAATATTTGCTTGCTTGTTTTCAGGGTTTGTATTATTTGATATGTAAACATTATTTAGTAGGATTGCGTGGCCTGAAACATATGCGATTCCCTAAAATACTTAGTTGTTATTCTTAACTTTTTTTAGACTGACCTGAATGACAAGCTCAACATCCTTGAAGTCAAAACTGACAAGAACCAGCAGGTTATCACACAGATGAAGGAGCAACAAAACAAATTAAAGGTTGATAAATGTTGATTTTTTCTTTTGGAATCTTTAACAGAATCAGATAAAGGTACTGTAAGAGATGACAAGATGTGCATAACCATCACATACTGTATGTCAGCATGTGGAGCTTTCATTTCCTTTGGTTTTGCTTTCCCAGGACTTAGCTGTAACCCGCAAACGTATTCTTGAGGCTGAATACAGGCAGATCAGAGAAATGATTGACCGAGATGAGAAAGAAGCCATGCTTGCTATCGATAAGGAACAGGAGAAAGGTCAGAGCAAACTGGTCTCCTTGATGAAGAAATTTAATGAGAACGTCGAGAAGATGAATAGGACCAAATCTGAGATCAACAGTCTGCTGGACCAGTCGCAGTCACTAGAATTCTTAAAGGTGATCCAGAGTGTGATCATGTGACCAAATGTTGAAATACATTTTCATTTTTAGTACTGTTATTTGAGCCTTAGATGTATATATGATTAAATATTCTGTGTGAAGCCCAGTGCTAGTGTAGGATCTCTTGCAAAAAGTAAAAGTCAGTTCAAGATGTGCTTTATACTTGATCGTTTTTTCTTTTTTTTTTTTGCTAACCTAAATGTCATTCAATGCAGCTATGAATGTTTGTGTTCTTGACTTTACCAATCTCTGTCACAGGCGTCCGTGGATTTGCCCTCCGTGGTAAATTTTGAGCCCTATAACCCTCGCATCAATGTGGAAAGTAAAGAGGTGATAGCTTATCATTCCTCTGCAGTTGCACTGAAGGAGTGGATCACCAGATTAATGGATCATCCATTAGAAAACAGAATCTACGTAATTAAACCAGGTGTGTTAGTGCAGAACTTATATAAATTGTGCAGAATGTTTTGATGTTTGTATACAGCAACCCCACACATAGTCTTAGTGCATGCTAAGTTCTGATATACATGTTTTTACAGAGTTTTAGAAATCTGTTCTTGGTGCAGGTGAGATTGTGTTTTGAAATAATTGGTGTGGAAATCTAAGTAAGAAATCTGGGGCATACTTATCATCTAAAGCATTTTTATACAAGTGATTTTGTTGCCAGTTATATGTTGTTGGGGTTGTTATAGGGCTGGGTGATGTGGCAAAAAATAAAATATCTTTTCTTTTTTTTTTAGAACATTTGACCGATTCTCGATTTTTATTTATATACAACATGATTTAAGTAACGTAATTATAAATACAACATGATTTAAGTAACAATTATAATTATAAATAAATTTTGCCACAATTTTATTTATAAAAAATAAAATGGTGGCAAAACAGTAAATTCGAATGAATCTATAAAATCAGAAAAAAATCACCCAGCCCTAGTGCCTTATTTTTAATAAAACTGCTGCCAGAAGATTTTAACCACTTCTCTAATCCACTAGGTCTAGGAAACCAATTCCCTGTAATCCGAAGTGAGACTCCTGCCTTCCAACCAAATTCAAGAGGAATGTGTAAGTTGCAACTTCCATGCAACTGACTGGACTTTTTTGATTCAGTATAACCTATACCCATACATCCATCCATTCATCACTATTTTTTCTCATTCAATTTTAAATCATTCTTCTCCCAATATGTTTCAGCACATATGAGATTTCCCAGTCCAGATCGCGGTCCCAAAGCCAACCCTTCAGGAGCTAAACAGAAAATGTCAAGTGAGTCAACTGCTTATATGTTTTGGAGCCATAAACAACATAGATTAAAATGTACACCTTCCTCTCATTGTTCTTCTTTATTTCTTGATAGGCAAGAGTGCTAATAAAGATCAGAAGGATCACAAAGAGCGTAAAGACCAGAAGCCAAACAGTAAGTTCTGACCACCCCTCAATATGTTCATTATTTTACAACTGACTATTACTGTTAGTCTGATCACTGCTATGCGTGTTGAACATATTCACACCTCGTGATTGGGTTAAAACAGGAGGAGCTTGTGTTAGTAATGTATCTTATGTTTCACAGAGATTTTGTCAAAATTGTTCTGAAAAGGAATGTGGATCAAATTAATATTTCTTAAAAAATTATTCTAACATTATATGTCTTTGCCAGAATCTAGGAATCCCTCTAAAGGAGCAAATCCTGTTTTCTCCAAAAGCATGGAAAACTTGCTTGACATTGCGGTTAAACCTGTAGACATACCTGACATAAGTATGTGGAAAAGTTCTTGTTTATTCATGTCCTCCAAAATTTAATCTTTACTGTAAGGGGTCTGTGCTACAAAACTACATAATTTACTGCAATTCTAGAATAGACTGCAGATTCTACTCTAGAAGTAGAAAAGCAATTTATCAGACCGGGCGTTTTTTAAATTATTGAATGTCATGCAGGGGTGCAGTTCCCACAAAACAAAGTAGTAGTAATTAATGTACTTGTGTACTCATCAAAAATGGCACTGATTGTTGACAGACTAAAGTATATAGATTGAAGTGTGTGTGTGTGTGTGTGTGTGTGTGTGTGTGTGTGTGTGTGTGTGTGTAAATATAAATAGAATGAAAATATAGAATGTACTACATGATAGCTTTTTTATTGTACCTTTGTGCATGATCTAAGAAGAAACTATGCTTCTAACTACAGGTTGAGCGCTATAGTTCCACCACACAAGTTTGCGACCCTGTTTGCAAATGTTTGTTGAAACTATGGTTTCATGAAACAGCAAATTGTTGAATTTTGTGGGTAATGACAGAAGAACCATAGTTGGATAACAGTGCTGTTAGGAATATTGACGTATTAATGAAATGAGCAAACCTTTCATTCCCTTTGGAGGTAATATTGTACTAGTTTCTGAAAGCTTTTTATTTATTTGTATTACTTTCTCTCATTACAGATCCACCTGCTAGTTCACCAGCTGTGCAAAACTTTATTAAAAGAAGTGACCTTCTTAAATGTGAGTTTAACAGTTTAGATATTCATCACAGTTTATCCACTTGTTCATGTTCATCACCTTTTACATCTATATGCTTGTGTTTCTCCTGTCTAGATGGCACCATCCTCAATTTTGACGTCAGAACAGCTCACAAGCGGATCTCGCTGTCTGAAAACAACACCAAAGTGACAGTCTCGGACGAAACTGCTTACTATCCAGATATTCCCCTTCGCTTTTCTGTCTGTTCCCAGGTGCTCTGCACAAAGGGTTTCTCTCAGGGCCGTCATTATTGGGAGATCAAAATGAGCAGTAACAACTTCTGCGGATTGGGACTTGCATATGGAAGAATCGACCGCAAGGGTCCCTCTAGCCGTCTGGGGCGTAATGCAGACTCCTGGTGTGTGGAGTGGTTTAACGTGAAGCTTTCTGCATGGCACAACAGCATCGAGACGGTGCTGCAGAATCCCAACCCAAGCCGCGTGGGTGTCTTGCTGGACTGTGATCAGGGAAGTGCAACATTCTATAATGTGCAGGACCGGGTCTACCCCTTCCACACATTTGTCTTTCCTTTTACTGAGGCTGTATATCCAGCTTTCTGGATTTTCTCAAATGGTTCTTCTGTCTCTTTCTGCAAGCTCAGCAACTGAAAGTATATAAGTTGAACTGATTTTCATTTTAATGTATTGATGTTTTGTTTATCTTTGGAGCACAAATTAATATATTTTTAATATTCTCTCATCTTTTTGTCCATAGAGTAAAAGTCCACACATCCTGAATGTTCAAGCTTCATGTTTTATGAAATCTTTGAAGGATTTTCAATGGATGGGCAAAAATAATTATGGTATATTAAAAATATCTTCATTTTTGTTTCGAAGATGCTCCCTTTTGGGTCTTTTGGGTTTGGAAAGACAGGAGACAGACATAAACATTCATTTATGGGGTTTAAACTAGTCAGGTTTGATGTAAATAATCTTTTTAATTCTAATGTAGGTGTGTACAGAGTGCATAAAGCAGTCTTTTTAATCTATAAATGTCCAGTAATGTCTTTTAATGTTGACCAAAAAAATTTTTTTCATTAATTAGATTGATGGATGGATGATATCTAAAGGCTAATGCAGTCCAACTGTCATTAAAAAAAAAAACTCAAAGTGAGGAGGTTTGTATTGCATTTGCAATAATGACTTATCCAAACAGTCATTATTAACAGGCTACTTACCAAATTAGATTAAATTAAATATTGATTTAGGCTGAAATGATTTAAGTGAGAAGAACAAGACTGCAGAGAGATACAAGAGAGACTAGCACAGCTATTTTGAAAATATTTTATTTGAAAAAAAGAGCAAGACAACAGTCAATTAAAAAGTTTAGTGGTCATTATACAAAAATATTTGACTTGATTGGTACGATTGACTAAAATCAAGTATTACAGAGAGCAGTGTAATAAATGGTTATGCGTCATTGTTCCAGAAAGGGGAAAATTCATTGTACATAATGAGATTTGCAAATGTGACACATTATTTAATCTTACTTTGTTCTCTTTGTTTCTGGTATTTTTGGAGATTTTAGTTGTGAGTTTGAAGTGTTTAATATCCTCACATTATCACAATTGACACTTGTTGGTTTTATCACATGGGTCAAGTCCATTGGCAGTGTGCTCCAGATAGAGTTGTTTTGGTTCCTGCTCAAAGTATCCTGGCTGGGTCCAGTCAGTTTATAAGCATGTGTAATTCTGTCAAACCAACAAGTGTTAAATGTGTGTTAAAAATTAAACATTCAACACCAGTAGCCATGTATATATGTAAATCAAACCGTTATAAAAAAAAAAAAAATATATATATATATATATATATGAAAGATGTATGTTGTGTTATCAGAAACAAATCTAAAACAAAATAATACAGGTTTCACTTTGCAGTAAGGAAATATTCTACCAATCTAAAAATATAGCTCAGAAAGTTTAGTAGTAAGGCATTTATTGTTTGCTTTATTGCAATATTACAATTTTGGTTCCATAGAGTAACTGAATATTATTTTAAAAATCTACATGAAAATATATTACATTTTTATTCAGAGTGGGGGAAAATATACATAAAGTAAAATATCAGAATAATACCAATAAAGGCATGACATGGCCATGTCTCATATAAGAATAAATAATATTATCTAATTTATTATTCTTTCTCTCTCATCTTCTGTTGTATTGATCACATTTGTGAAATTGTTCTGAGATGACTTAATCCTGCTCCTGTAATGTTGATTGTTAATTTGTGCAGCTCACATTGTTTTCGGTGCTGAACAATAAAAAAATTCAAAAAGATTAATAAAAAAAACAAACCAAATCTTTGACCAACGATTCCTTTATGTTCTATTGTTCATAACATCTCCAACTTGTAATATATGTTGGTATGTTACCTGGGCACATTCAAACAAGCCTAGTTAAACATTAAACACGATGCCAGGAGCAGCTACTGTCAGATAAAAGCTAGGCTTCATTTGCATTTGAAAAACATGACATAAGCCATGGGTGTTAACCACATGTTGTTTCTAGCATACAGAAGTCAGTGCAAAATATTTCAATATTCAATACAGAGATTCCCATTTAATGTAACACTCCCAAAAGATTAAAATGATAAACTAGTAGTACCAAGGAGAATAATATTCTTGTTTAAATCCCCTTTGACACATTTAGAGCATGTGTGAAGTCTAGTTTTAGGAATATGACGGGTGTCTTGAGGGGGGTGGGGGAATTACAGTTGTAAAGAAAATGTTTTCATCACAACCACTGCTTCAGTTTTTATACACATAAACATAATGGGGGAAAGTAATTTTTCATGACACTAATCAAAAAACAAACAACACCATTTTGATTTTATCCTTTCTCAAGGTATAGAAGCATTCTCAAGTTGTCATATTACTAAGCTGAGTAAGATTAATACAGCAGTCTGTATTTTATTATACAACTGATGAAGATAATTTAACAGGGAAATATTCAGACTTTGCTGAGAAAAAAGGATATATACTATAAAGGAAATTATATCCATATTTACTTCACATATTAACTGAAATATTGCTTTGATATTATGAAATGCTATATGGGTGTTCACGTGTGAGGCCTGTTTGGTCTGAATATGAGGAGATGTCACAGTGACCTGCTTGTTCTCACTTGCTTAGGAAAAACGATACCATCTTGAATTTCGGGAAGATGCTACATGAGGAACGAGACATATCAAGTGTTTATCACGCTTTCTTAGCTATATATGCTATTAAGGAGACGACCATTGGGAAAACAATGGGCCAAAGTGTATAAAAGTAGAGATGCATGCTCACTTATTTTTGTCACACATATGGCGGTGCTCACTGCTGTATTGCCTGACCTTCTTGCAAGAATAAAAATGTAAAAGACTTTAAAAGTCTAGCTGTGTTGCGTGTTCTTGATTTAAGAAGAAAAAATTCTACAACAATACTGTATCTTGACTATTTTGGTAACACTCTTGTTAACCTTTTAGCTTCCAAAAAATGTACCTAAATCTCCTTCACAATTATGCATGAAAAATGCAGATTACAGTTCTCTTAACAATCTGAAAGATTTTTTAAGTAAAAATCCCTCTGAACATGAATTAACTATGAAATGAACTAAACCACATTATAAACTGCTCAGAGGCATTATTACATCAGCAAAACCTCCAATTTATCAAACAAGGTTTTAATGGATAATTTGTGCAACTCCTGCAAAGAGAGGTGACACTAGTTCAGGGAGAAAATGGCATGTGCTTGAGTGCTTTACCAATAGGAAAGCCATAGATGTGACTATACGAAATGTACGACACATACCACTCCTAAAGCTGTTTTTCTTTTCTATCCTGGCTTAGTTTTTCAAGAACATTGCCGACTTGGAAGAGTGGGACTAAAGAAAATACTCAGAAAGCCTATTAGGGTGGATATATTCTAGGCAAAGTAAATTTTACTCAAGCAGGATGCATAAAAACATAACAAATCTCTATGGAAAAGTGGAGAAAATGAACAATGAATAAAACACAATAAAAATGCCTGATGGTCAGCATATGCAAACAGCAAAATAAAGAATGTACTTTAATCCAGTGCTCTGAAACATTTTACATCTATTTCATAAACGAAAACAATAACACAAGTTGAATAGTTGCAAAATAATAAGATATCAATGGCAAGTCCATTCACAATCTACTCTAGATTCAAGCAGTGCAAAGGTGAAACAAAACATAATATCCTAAATAAATATATTTCACAGCTTAATTTATTCAACTCAAATACAAGATTTCTGCAGCGAGTTGTATTTTCACAGACCTATGGCACTCAAGATCAGTGCAAAACATTGGTGTCTAAGCAGCTTTGTTTGTAACATTCTCCACTGGACTGAATTCTCTTTTTTATGATTGCCTGAGCTCTGCTAACAACTGAATACGATTCCATTGTGGACTAAATGGCTAAAACCTGAGCCACTTTTTAGAGCTTCCCGGTAGCACTCCCTGGCAGGAAATAAAAAATTATGCATGCAAATCTACAAAACCAATGTCAGAGATAGACATCTTGTGAACAATTTGAGAACAAACTGTCCACAAGATGTGCTTGAGAGAGAAGGGGCTTTTTAACTATAATAACCACTGCAGATGTTATTACTAGAGCAGCACATGCACATTATGTACATTTACGTTTATGACATCAGACATTTATCACATCAGGGTGTCTTCCTTTCATGCTGTGCTACTTTCTGGGGTGGAAATAGCACAGACAGAGTGATTACAGCCTTACTAAGACTCTGTCACTGTTTCCTGTGTGTTGCTAGTTGTGTCAATGTGATCAGCTGAGCATTCTTCACCCTCTGAGGCGCTGGAGTCATCATCATCTGTCTGTTCTGCACTGTGGTACAGCATGAGGGCCTGGGTCTTATGGGTAATGGTGATGGTGCATGGACCCTGCGCCCATGGCTCTCCATCCACCTGCATTGGCATCCGAGAACTCTTTAACACCAGCTACCACAAAAAAAGCAAAGGATAAAGAATAAATAAAGAGTCATCTTTATTTATATAATGCTTTATACAACACATATTATTTCAAAGCAGATTGACAGTATTAAACAGGAAAATAAAAGAGTCAATGATGCATGATGAACTTCTTCAAACATGAGAAACATTTTTTAATTCTGCTTTAAAGAAGCTCTAAAGACAATAGTGTCATTATTCAGCTCAATTCAGTTTAGTGTTGGTTCAGTTCAGTTCAATAACAATGTTTATGTTGTAAAATTCATCAAATTATGAATTGAGATCAAATCAAAAGTAGCTTTACAGAAGGCAACAGTGTCATTATTCAGCTCAAGTCAGTTCAATGTTGATTCAATCCAGTTCAGAACATGTTGCAAAATTCAGCTATATTGCAGCTCTACAGAAGACAATTGTGTCATCATTCAGCTCAATTCAGTTCAATATTTGTTCTCATCTAATATCGTTAGCACAGATTTGTGGATTGTTATTATTCAGCATAGAGGTCTGCACAGGCAGTTAGAATGAAACAAAAATTTAAACCGTCTTTTCCCTATTGTGGCCCAAGTGAAATTGCTTCTTGAACGAGAAAAATGTAGGGAGAAATTTGAATGTCTTTCAGAAATTGATTGGTTCGTTGGATTCCTGTGGCTTGCTAATTACTGCAGTCACTTCATGTGAGTGACAAGTTGCTGGAGGGACAGTATTGAGACTTGTCTGGCTATTGGACAACCTTATTGCCCAGACCTGACAGTGTAGACACATGATAAGGGAAGAGACGTCACTGCAAGGGGGCGGGGATGTATTTGTTTTGTGAGGGCACCTGCATTTAGTTTGTCTGGCATTTTCAATTCATTCCTATGGGAGCTGTGAAAAACACTGAGCATCTAAGAGAAAACAAAACTTGAGAAAGACTCGACTTTATGCAAATGAGCAGCATCTGTCTTGAACATTTAAAAATATGCAGATTGTGCTGAAGTTTCTGCTGGATTTAGTGCGTAAATCATATTGTTTATATATTGTATGCCTTGTAGTTATTATGTTAAATATTGCAGCTTTGACGCTTTCATTGTGAATAGACTGGCTTGGTTAACAAGTTTATTAAATTGACATATATATGATTATATGGACTGTGCACTGAAAAAAAATATTAAACAAACTTGCTATAGACACACCCTAAAGTGGAGACGTTGTAGTGTTTTGAGCACCACGGAGCTGAACCGTGACTCACACTTAAGCACCATTTAAGCTGTATGAGTAAAGAACATTTTTATGTCTTACCCGTATTGTATGTGCCTGTCCCAGCCTCACAGGATTGGCCAGTTTCACCTGGATCTGTGCACAGTGGAACGAACCATACACCCCCACCACCTCTAATAAACCATCATCCACACTGAAGAAAGAAAAAGGACATAAAGAAAATATACATTTTCAAAGGTCATCCTACTCTGATCCAGATCCACAGGTATAAAGTTTAATTTAATTTCAACCTATTCTCACAAAGTCAAATCTATAAGTCTGTATAGTAGAGTATAGTATAGTATAGTGTAGTATAGCAGATTATATCAAGTGTATAACAGAGTGGCATCTGGATTCTCACCGTGTTGGAGGATAGGGTTCATCTCCCATTCCCTCCCACAGTCTACAGCCACCGCCCCAGTAGCCGATATTGCACACTATTATCCCCTCCAGACTGGGCAAATTCACTTGCTCTCCATCCAGCTCCAGCTAAAGAAGCACAATTAAGCATTAACGGGCATAAGAACTAATCATGCAGCACCTTCCATGTGTGGAGATACCAGTTACACTTTATTTTACAGTACGTGTACTTACAGTGTACTTACCCAAGAACATACTGGGTAGTATAAGGTAACTACATGGGTTAAGGTTAGGTTTAGGGGTAGGTTCAGGGTAAGTACTTAGTCATTACCTAGTTATTATAATTGATATAAGAAGCACATTTTGTGTACACACGGAACAGGACTGTAAAATAAAGTGCTACCGAGATACCTCCTAATTCAGGTTTATGCACAAAAAAATGTGGATTAGAAGATTGTAAACAATGCAGCAAGTGTAATTGCTGGGTCTACTGAGCAGCCTCTAACTCATGGCATTTGGATTGGGTCATACTGTCATACTGTTTGTATGAACAACGGTAGATAAGGCAATATTTGGAAAAGTAATCATGTTTGTAATTCTGTCTGGTGCTGCTAGCGGTGCAGAAATTACAGTGCACTTAAAAATTAAAACCTGTTCTCACATACGCACCAGGAGTCAGTAACTAAAAGGAACCATATAGAGCTGTTTCTTGAAGCCGTTTGTTGTGTGCCAATTCGCCTACTTATATTATGTCCTGAAAGTATGCAGCAATAGATTCTTAAGGCTGGAATACACTACACAATTTTCTCCTGATTTAGAGTCCAAACAAGTTGCCGCTAGTTGCCGAAAGTCAGAGCAAGTCTGCAGATTTGAGTTGACAGATTTCATAAAAAATCATGTAGTGTATGATAATCACAGACTCCGCATTTTAGCTTCAGACTATGATTCCATCCAGTCAGAGCATATCAAATTCCAGCCTTTAGTATTTGAAAAGAGCCAAAGTAATTATGCATTTCTATTATCTCTTTTTAATGAAGTTCTGAAACAGCATTAATCATCATTATATCATTAATGAGACACCACAGTAATGAAACAGGAAGTTCATGTCAAGGCTAAAACTTCCAGACAACATGCTAATCATATGATGACAACAACAAAGGGAAACAATCAGAGAACACTTTTGCTTGAGAACACTTGTCTCAATAAGCAAATTAAAACGTTTACCTCAATCCTCTTATCCAGATCTTTACATTCTTGCACTAAACAATCTTTGGTACCATAGAGGAAGTACACTGCCTGTGAGAAAAGACAATTGTCAGTATTATCAGCCATGAATTTACAAAATACTTCTGTTTTTAACAAACCTAGCAGTGCATGAATATGTGTAGGCTAGTAGATCGATAGTTTTTATTTTTTTTTAGATACTATGCAACTTTTATTGCAAAACAATTTTGCTGCTACTGAGGTGAGACATAATTAAGATTATGGACAGGCTTAGTGGTATGGTTAGGTTTAAGGGTGGATTAAGGGGTAGGGGTAGGGTTAACAGTGCATAGATATATCTAAAGAAATTAATTACAGATTTAGTACATTGTAGTTACATACACTTAATATAAAAGGGTTCTTTTTTATAGTTGTGGATGTATAAATCAACTGCAGAATAATGACATTTTCTCAGTTATACAGTCTTTACAATGAAGAAAATATTTTGAACCAATTAAACTGTAAGCAAACTTAAGTTAAATAAAGGAAATTAGATGGCTTTACAGATATAAACGTTTTTACATCGAATTATGCAGTTTATCACATTATCAATCTTAGATGCTCTTTCGATTTAATTTTCCTCTGAAATTAAAAATGAAATGATGGACAGGCAATGCCTCAGACCTTATTGATGATTCGGCTGGAGAAAAAGGAGGGCGTTTTCTCTCTGTGTGCATGGAAGTTCAATGCCATGAGAGCATCAGGACCCACTGAGAAATAATTATTCATGGACAACACCTGGAGAGAAAACAACCTTAAGCTAAAATCTTAATCTCTTTTCTTCATGAATTGAACGTGTCATGATTGATTTACTATTGATTACATGATTGAACTAATACTGTATTTCATGGGATTTTATGCTAATAAATTGGTTATGTTAAAATTTGCTTAGCATACAAATAATTTAATTTGCATTCTGGGGTACATACTCTTGCTGGTAGATCATACAGTATATTGTATGTACTGACCTTTGGCTTACGAAAATAGTTTCCTTTGGAGACAACTTGAACTTTCCACCTAACACATTAACAGCAGAAATACAAAATAAATTGAATGACAAAAGCCATTCCTCATAATACAAGACTTTACAGCACAGCCAGGGTCTTACCTGTCCATTTTGATTACCTCAGCCTCTAGAACATTCCTGAGCACCTGTTCTACTGGAATCTCTCCAGCATATCCTGCTCCCCATCCTAAAGAGTTTGCTAAATCATTTCCTGTTCCCAACGGCAGGATCGTCACAAGAGGGATAAACTGATCCTGACCCTATACAGAATGAGAGAGCGACAAACACAAATAATATTTTAATTAGGGATGCACCGATATGAAAATTTTGGCCGATACCGATAACCGATTATTCTTTATTTTTGAAAGCCGATAACCGATATGTTGGCCGATAAATCTTAATAACCCAAGAAACAACAAATTACTTTTTTTAATGAAATAATGCCACATATGTGAATATAAGCATCACATAATGATGTCATTATGTGATACTTATATTCACATTTGTGGTGTTATTTCATTCTATACACATCCTACTAGCCAGGCCACATGGGAAAAAACATGCTTGGTTTACATCCTGACTTTTAATATAATCTATCACGTTTTCAAGTCCACTCAACTATTCGGCTACAGCTCTCACCTTCAGCTTCATGGTATCAATGGCATCCAGAACCCAGCCTACTGTGCCATCTCCCCCACACACCAGAACACGCACGCTGCCTGGGGGCAGAAGAGTACACAGCTGCAGGGCTTTAGAGGGGGGCAGCTCGGAGAGATCAAACACCTGGAAGGGGGGAAAAAAACTAAATAACTAAACTATTTTGTTAAACCATTAGATAGTAAGAAGAATGTGATCATTCAAACAAAATAAAAAGAGACAAGAGTGTATGGAAACAGAGAGAGACTGGCTGAATATGTAAATGTAAGCACAGAGTTAAATGGCACCTGCATGGGGTTCAGGAGGGTACGAAATTCTCCCAGCAAAACTTCCCCCATGTTGTTGCCACTTCTTGTGTTTGCCAAGACCAGAACCGGAGTCCAGCCACTCCCATACTCATCAGGGTGTCTTCGGCGGAGCTTGTTGACTTGATAGAGGTAATATGGAGGTATGATAACAGAGCGGAACTCTCCAAGATCACACAGATCATCGTTCAGACTAGAAAGGCAATCATCATGCACTGTGGTCTGACACCATACACACCTATATATTCCCAAATAAAAACAGCAAATGTGAGTGAGAGCACTTAGAACTGATAGCTTGTTGTAAAACACTGAAATGGATACTGTACTGACTGCAAACCCTCTAGTAAAACTCATAATAAGAATTCTTATCTTGCAGATAATATCTTCTTAATGAATCGTAAAATAAAAAAAATGGTACAAATTCTTTTAAAAAGATTTTAAATCAATACTTGTTTTGCTATGAGCCTCAGAAGAAGCTGGTCTGGAACCAGTTTAGCGCTACCTTTGACACTGAGGATTTAGGTGGAAGGACCTGGTCCTGGATCACACATAACAGCTGGATTACAGGGATTACTGACTCTTTAATCAAACCATGCTTTAGAAAGATTAAACACATGAGAAAAGGGCAGGATTCTGGTTTGCTCTGTTTGTTCAACAGCCAGTGATGCATTTTAAAGCACCGCACCCTTAACAAAAATGGATTTCAACAGACGCTTTTAAGTTCTGTTCAGTCTGCTCTCAGCTGCTATTGATCTGTGTCTAGGTTGTTGCCGTTTAGCCATACTTTTTGCTGTAAATTAAGATGTAAAAACACTTGTCTGTTAACATTTTCTTGTACTGTAAATATTGACATGACTTGAATTTGACTTTTGTAAATATTGTTAAAACTATGAAAGTTCTTGGAAGGTAGGCATCAGTTGTTGTTTTTAAATAGTTGTTGTTGTTGTTTATAGTTAGATATGGTCCAGGTAGCCTTTTGATTGTTTATTTGTATTTTCTTTCACAACTTAACAAGTTCAAATTAGAAAGCTTTGTTTGTTTTGTTTTGTTTTGTTTGCCTTGTTCTCTCCTCAATACTTAAATTGATTCTTATTTATTTTCATAAAGCCATTCATTAAACTTTAAAATATTTGAAACCTTGAAAGTTGACCAGGTGAAAGTGCAGTTGTTGTTTTTTTTCTACATTGATTAAAATATGAAATATGAATATACATTTTTCTTTTATTCATTTCCCTTTTATATTCTGTACAAACGTGATTATTAATTTTTGTCCAAAATTGTGGTACAAGTTTAATATTTCTGACAAAATGGTTTAGAATGACAACTGGTTTAGATCTTGATGTAGCCTAGCCTATTTTACACCAGGAGGATAATTTGTGTTTTTCATATCTATCTATCTAAGAAAGAAAGAAAGCACAGGGTTATTTAATACCTATAGTCGCAAAGTTTAGGTTGAGTCCCGCATTGCTGTTTGCACTCGGCACAGTAGCTGGCGAGGGGCACATTTCCCCTGACCCACTGATGGTAAAACCTCCCATCTGTCTGTCTCTGTGTCATGATCTCCTTACACGAGAGGATGCGATCTGCCCTCTGTATGCACTGCTCATCCGCACAAATGCCGCAGCAGTCACAGAACGCCCCCTGCAGGATGGGCTGAGAACACACGCAGCAGTAGGTGGGCTTGTTGAACAGATCTGTGTAGTGCCAGCCGTGTTTGCTCTTTCGGAACAGATCTTTCAGCTGAACTTTGCGTTTAGGACGCTGGAAGCTGCACCACAGCGTGATGAGCACTGGGACCAGAACAGCAACCGTGGTCCAGAGGAGCAAGGTCCACTCCTCCCTCAGCTCCTCAGTACTCTCCTCCATACCCACAATTCTTATTTTACAGGAACGTCGTCATGCACAAGCCAGAGCAGACGAAAATAATCAGTGATTTCCTGCGATCGTCATTAGTCACGGTGTTGAGGTTTTAACGTCCCACAACGATTTTCCATTTCTAACCCCATCCGAGCAGCATATCATCATCATCGCATCGCCAGGCAATGCACCAAACCTGAGTCACACTGATGTTACAGCACAGCCATCGTGAACACCTCCTTGCTGTCAAACACTTGGTAGGCTTTCACGAACATGTTCTAAATTTTGTTTTCAAAGGGGAGATCCCGTCATCATGTTATTCATCTAGTTCAATATACGGAAATGATGTCGTAGGTTTATGACGGAACATGTTCAGTGACCAATAGGAACAACACAATACGTGAGACAGGAGTATGGAGTCAATATAATGCCACTTATATATGCAAAATAATAAAGTTTTGCAAAAGAAAATGAAAGTATTGAGAAAAAATAAATGTTTTTTGCAAACAAAAATAAAGAATTGCAAAATATAAATGAAACAGCACAAAAGCAATGATTTTGCAATACATATTTTCCACGGCCATATCTACTAATTTATTTGCAACGCTGCTTTTATTTTGCGTTTCAGTCAAGTTTGAGCTTGCGATACTGTTTTCCCTTTGCGCTTCACGTTTCTGCGTGTCTCGCTTTCTGGCACTGTTTTGACATGGGGGTGGAGTCAATGGACGGGGCTGTACAACAGGCCTGGGCATGCCTCCCTGGAAGTGACTTCATCGGCACGAGACGCAGCTCACTGATCCAGGCACCATCGTTATTCTCTAGCATTAAAACATGCATGTTTTCGTTTTATTAACAAATGTATATGTGTATTAGCAGTGTTTGCTCAAGTTATTAAGCTCTTTTTGTTTTAAAATTCTTTACATTTCTCATCAATTTCATGGGTAAACAAACCCGCGTGGCCATATCAACCTGGGATTATCAGATATGTATTTATTAATATTTTATTTTGAATTAAGAAATTTTAGATTAAAAAAATTATTACATTATTAAATTATTATATTAACACTAGAAATGCCACGGGTTCATTTTACCCATGGCTGTTTTTCAAATGTAGGCTACATAATATGTCACAGTCATTGACTTTTACTAAAATTGTGTTATTTACAATCGCCTGTTGTTAAAAAAATTGTTTAGATAAAAATCAGATATGTATTTATCAATATTTTATTTTGAATTAAGAAATTTTAGATTAAAAAAATTATTACATTATTAAATTATTATATTAACACCAGAACTGCCACGGGGTCATTTTACCCTTGGCTGTTTTTCAAATGTAGGCTACATAATATGTTTTCAATAAAGAATATCCAAGTCTCAAAGTCATTGACTTTTACTAAAATTGTGTTATTTACAATCCCCTGTTGTTAAAAAAATTGTTTAGATAAAACCAGAATAAAAGCTGGGCATTTATACCTATAAGCGCCATCGAGTCAAATTTACGCATATAATTCCTTTATTGTCGTGCTGTCATTGAGCAACTTAGCTTACTGAAAACAGTCACACAACGCAAATTCAAATTAAGATGTTTTAGCCAACTCATAAATGTTCAGACTTTGGATTAATTATTCACTTTTGTTTTGCACATTTTTTTTTTTTTGTCGTTTATTGTTCTCTACAGTGTTGCTTAGCTATTTATTCCTGGGAAAAAAAATCTGAATTATGATGTAATGAATAAAACATTTTTTATGATTATCCCAAGTTTATTGGTGTTGTTCTGTTATTCAAATTATAAATTATATAACTAAACAAATAAATATTTGATTATGTGAAACTGTGTGATTGAATTTGTCGTTGTATCATACATCCTAGTGCATACATGCAGTGTGGTGAATTATTATGGCTTATTATAGTCTATTTAGGGTATTTTAGTAATTTAAAAAACATGGGTTATCTTAAAACATTTTATTATAATATTGCACCACCCAAATATGTATTTATTTCCTTGTAATTCTCGTTGTCATTGCAGGCTGGTTTATATTCACCATTAAGAAAAGTGATTAGTATAACCTGCTTAAAAATAGCTTTGAACTTAAAACATCAGGACAAAAACATAGTTGATGACTAAAAAAATAACCATGTTATGACTCTAGACATTGTGAAGACAGTGGCATAATACGGTGACATAGGTTTTTTTAGCCATATCAAAACAGTAGTCCTGTGCATGGGTAAATTTAACCCGCTGGCGCTTTTAGGTATACAGCGACCTCTGGTGGTTTAAGTGTTAACCATAGTCCTAGGCTACGGTACTGTGTTGCACGCGATGTAGACAACATTCAAATAAAGTTTATTATGAATAAATGTTAAATAAAATACATAAAATAAAATAGGCCTACAAAAAAAATGTTTTATCCATCCCACAAGTCTTGTAAGTCCATGTATTTTATTGTTATTATTATTAGTATTGGTAATATTTTTATATTCGTTGTTATGTATTTTATTTTTTTTTTACCTTCATTTCGATCTCTTTACTTAACGTTCAGGGCTGCGTTTCCCAAAAGCATCTTAAGCCTAAATCGATTGAAGAACCATTGTCATAATTTGGCTTACGATGCTTTTGGGAAATGCAGCCTTGAAGAGTTTTGTAAATAATAGCCTATACTGTAAATGCCCGACATGCCAATAAAGCTTTGATTATGCTATATGACAGGAATTTTTACTGGAAGTTCAGTTTAGAGGATGAATTTAACAATAACCCTATAAATACCCTAACACTATAATTATAAATACTAGAATTATAAATGAATAATTTGCGTAGTTACATTTGTAAATTAAAACGCCACTCATTTATCGTCACATACAGGTGTAAATGCAATCATAAAGTCAAAACTTTATTGGCATAATTGTCAGGCGTTTACAGTATTTGCAAAATATATGGTAGCATATATTATAAGCTAGAAGTTGTTCCCTCAATAGGATCTCATGGCCACGACATATTATCACGTTCCCACGAATTAATATCTCATGGCCAAGACAAAACTAAACCAAAAAGATTCAAGCTTCAGTTTTTAAAAAACTTAACAGTTACAGTAATTTCTTAATTTATGCCAGGAGTTATGTAAATGAAAAACGAAGTCGAGATCGATATGAAGCTTGAGTCATAGACCTTTTAATGATGTAAGTTAGTTTATGAAGTTAATTGCATCCTTTAACATTAAAACTAGCAGCAAATCTGAGCTCATGTAAACAAAGAACGCTTCTGTGCGCTGGCGTCCTCCCACAGGTTAAGAGATTTTAAACAAACACATTTAGTTAACCAAATGAAACAATACACATTTTAATGCTATAAAAGTGTGCACATTGAGAGACGTAAACAGCAGATGTTCATGTTAACAACTTCTTTAACGTGAGCAAACACTGCTAATACACATATACATTTGTTAATAAAGTTAATAAAACGAAAAAATGCTAGAGAATAACGATGGTGCCTGGATCAGTGAGCTGCGTCTCGGGCCGATGACGTCACTTCCAGGGAGGCATGCCCAGGCCTGTTGTACACGCCCCGTCCATTGACTCCACCCCCATGTCAAAACAGTGCCAGAAAGCGAGACACGCAGAAACGTGAAGCGCAAAGGGTAAACGGTATCGCAAGCTCAAACTTGACTGAAACGCAAAATAAAAGCAGCATTGCAAATAAATTAGTAGATATGCCCATGGAAAATATGTATTGCAAAGTCATTGCTTTTGTGCTATTTCATTTATATTTTGCAATTCTTTATTTTTGTTCGCAAAACTTTTTTTTCTCGCAATACTTCATTTTCTTTTGCAATTCTTTATTTTTGTTCGCAAAACTTTTTTTTCTCGCAATACTTCATTTTCTTTTGCAATTCTTTATTTTTGTTCGCAAAACTTTTTTTTCTCGCAATACTTCATTTTCTTTTGCAATTCTTTATTTTTGTTCGCAAAACTTTTTTTTCTCGCAATACTTCATTTTCTTTTGCAATTCTTTATTTTTGTTCGCAAAACTTTTTTTTCTCGCAATACTTCATTTTCTTTTGCAATTCTTTATTTTTGTTTGCAAAAAAAACACATTTATTTTTTCTCAATACTTTCATTTTCGTTTGCAAAACTTTATTATTTTGCATATATTAGTGCCATTATATTGACTCCATACAAGGCGCATCTCAAACAAGCCTAGGGTTATTCATAGTTTTCAGTCACGTGACCGGCTCGAAGACCTGGAGGGCAAAACATAGAACTGCAGGACAAGCCTGATTGGGTTTCACAGCCGCAAATATTTAGATCACCTCTCAAAAGAATAAAACAAAGGTATGTAAACAAAATGCAAGTTTTGGCCATTTGCAATCCATATTAAGCAACCGCGGCAATATTTCAATCATTAAACAGTGCGACAAAACGTTGTAAAAACACTTAAAGGGCTCTATAAATATTAAAAACCGTAATATTCTCTATATTAATAATGCATAGGCAAGCAGATGAGGCCGGAATATGAACGCAATCCGCTTAATGGTTCAGTGTTTTCCTTCTAATGGTTTTCTATGGGAAACCATTTAACGTGAAACTTTGCACATATTTTATATTCTGGCTTCATTTGCTTGCCTGTACAAAATATACATAATCAATAAGGTGTTTACTGAATTTCGCCTTTTAATATCTGCGTTTTACTACATTACTACTTAATGCAAACTGCGTAAAAATAACTGGCGGTCAATGGAGCAAAGCTTCAAGTTTTGCCCTCCAGGTGGGCGTTCCTATAAGGGTGTGACCTGCCGTGAAAATAATCAATAGGCCTAGACTTTGACATTTAAAGGGGTCATATGATGCTATTTTAAAGATCATTATTTTGTGTATTTGGTTTAACAGAATATGTTGACATGCTTTAATGTTCAAAAAACATTATTTTTCAAATACTGTACATTATTGTAGTTCCTCTATGCCCCGCCTCTCTCAAACGTGTCGTTTTCTACAAAGCCCCTCCTTCCGACAAGCGCAGTCTGCTCTGATTGGCCAGCTGACCCAGTGCATTGTGATTGTGATTGATGCTCATATGTATTTGCAGTACACAAACCGCGATTAAGAAAGCTGACTCCACTGTGATGTGATCCTGTCTCTCTCTCACGCACACAGACACAAACACGACGCAATACTCTACACACCGCAAAACTCCGCATTTGAACAGTCAATAGCAAATACTTAAACTATTAAGAAAACATACTTACAGTAGCTGATTCAGAATAAGCACAAGATTGTCATAGCAAAGTCGGAATTGACCCATTTTTAGAAATAGCCTTTGCACAGCCAGCCTATAGGTTCACAAAACTGTCGTCCATAAAATGCATTGCACAAATTCGAACATCTGGGTTGTGCTGTTCTGTTGTAAATAAATCTTAACCAATGATTCCTCATTGCATCTACTTTCAGAAGGCCAAATAAAGTGCTTTTGCTTTTGCACACAAACACACAGCATCTCCCTGACATGGCTGCACCAACACTACTGCGGTTCCTGAAACCACGCCGCCTTTCTTTGCATGAACATTTGGGCGGCATTACGCAAATATTTCCACATCGTGACGTAGATATGTGGGGGCGTGTTTGAATGAGGTGTTTTAGCCCGGTCTGGACCAGCCTTCTCTTTTAGACAGAATACATCATTTTGTGGGAGACTTTGAGCTTTGTAGCTCTGCAGATCTTATACATGCATAAATAGCTACATAACACATTAAAGAAAAAGAAAAACAGAAATCGCATCATATGACCCCTTTAAGTAAAAGTAAAGGCGACATCTTGTGGAATATGTCTGTAACTACAGACTCATCCAGATGTGAAACCAGGAGTCTTCTTCTGTAGCCTATCCGGTGGCCTGTAAGCAGAGGTGCTGTGGGGGTAACTTCTAAATGACGTTGTCGTGTATTTCTCCTCCTCATAAGATGGGCAAACTCTCAAGTGCAGCTATTTCGAACTGAGGACGGACGGAAGTGAAAATGAAGCTGTTGGTATGCCTTTTTTGCGTGGTCTTATTGACCTTCTGCACTGGTATGTTTTTCCTGTAGAAATCTTATACCATGGGTTTTATGGCAGTTTTATTAGCATACACTGTGTTTTTATTGTTCTTATCACTGTGGGTTGGGACGTTTGTGTGCATATTACCTGTTTTTTAGCGAGTCTTATTTTCATGCGAAATCAGAACGTTTTGGAACATTTGGACAATGACTTTTGAAATAAATCTATATTTTCTTTTCGGCCTTCTTGCAGTTCTAGTTAAGACCGAAATGGGTGTATATTTATGTGAGATTATTTTCATTAGGCTTACGCTTACCTATTATTTTGTCATTGTTTTTATCCCCCGCACTTGCTAAACGATTTGTAATGTCAGCCTATTGGAATAGCAAACTCAAAATTGGCGTTGTTATTATTATTATTGCTTTTTGACGTTTCCATTTTATTTGTATGTTGGTTTTTATAGCCTATATTCATATCCCATTACATCTATATATTTCTATTCGTATTGTTTTAGCTGCTGAACATGTTAACTGAACACAAATTATATGATGATTTCACCCACCATCCCCACGCCATATACATTTAAGGATCTTATCTAATTTGCAACGAAAAACGCTGCTCGGCTGTTTGTCTGCCACGTCGGTGTTTACCGTAACGGGCTCATTTTCATACCCCTCGCGGGTCAGAGCTCCAGGTCACGCGTGCGCAGGGGCGCGCTCCCCGGGGAGACGCGCTCATGAATGGGCACTTTGTGTTCTTCCATAGACAAACAACGCTGGGAAACGGAGGGAGGGGTTGAAATGGGGAGGCAGGAGAGAAAGTGAGTGAAGTGTATGTGTGTGCGTGCGTGCGTGTCTGTGTGAAAGAGAGAAAAAAGAGGGAGAGAGATGAAGAAAGAGGGAAAGAGAAAGGCCAGAATTCATACAAATTAGACCCCCAAAGGACTCGGGGAAATCTGAAAGAATAAAGGTTCAGAGGACAGAATGGCCGCCTGGGGAAGAATGGAGAAAATTAAATTAGTATGCAGCTAGTAATAGAAAGAAAGAAAGAAAGAAAGAAAGAAAGAAAGAAAAATGGGTAATATTAAATGGCACAAATTAAAGTCTTTGATAATCTCATTTGTTTACATAAAAATATAGGCTACATAATGAATAAACTGTTGACATTTTTTTTACGGTAACCCCTTAGTTATTTAGCAAAATTAATAAGTTAAATGTATTCACATTAATAAATCATATTGTCATTTCCATGAAATTACAATATGAAATGGTGATCTTGATACATTGTCATCGTTTTACTTGTCATGATCCTTAGATGCAAACCCCATCATTAAGGAGAGTTTTGCAAAGCAGCTACTCCGCACCAAGAGACAGAAGCCTGGACACCCTGATGAACCTATGAGGGTTGGGTGCCAACAACAGACTCCTTTTATTTACATAATAACAAATCTTTAGAAAGCATCATGCATGAGAGCCTGCTGTAATTCTTTGTGATAGTAAACATCTGTTCACAATATTGTTTTGTGCTGGTTTTAAATAAATTACTTAACAAAACAATGTGAACTCAGCTCCATGTCAATAGCCTACTCTAGAATTCAGAGTTCATGTGTATTTCAGGAACACATGCTGCATATGCAGAGGCTTGAGCAGAGGGCTCGAGAGACCAGTATGGAGCATTGGATGAACCCTCACTGCTTCCCTCGCTGTGACCGCAACTACGGCTACCCTGTGTAACGGGCCTGTAGTGATCCACAGGTTCTGATATCCCTCAGCTTTTGTATCTCACTGAAGACTGCAATGTTTGAGCTTACTATTATGATTTCATATATTATGTAAATTGTACCTTCACACTTTTCCTTATAACAAAGTTGAATTAGGCGAAGTTATTAAATTTGTAATGTGTAGACGAATATTTGGGTGAAGGCAATAATTGTTAACACTCTTTACATCATATGGGATTTTTTTTCCCTTTTCCTTTCTGTACTGACTTTTTGTATTAGTTCTGCCCTGACTTGAGGCACATTAGATGTAAATGCGGTTTTATCATTGAAAACGGTTTATATTTACTAAAATCCTACCCATATAGGAGTGCAAATAAATTCAGTGATTTTTTTTTTCAGGGCGAAGACAGGAATTCTGGCGACGACAAAGCTGATAAAGACCATAAAATGGATTGCAATAAGAACGAAGACTTAGAAATCCCGAGGAGGTCAAGGACACAAAATCCACGAAGACACCCACCCATCGATAGTGTAGACGCATTTTAGATGTCTTATTTAGGCTAGATGAAAAATCTTATAATCGGTAGATTATTATTTTTTATAAAACGAATTACGAAATCGCATTTTGAATAAGAGACTCATTAATAAAATAAAACTGTTGTGCTCTAAATTTTGATTGTGACTGTGGTTTTTAATCTTACGGGTTATATGAGTATTTAATTGCATTATGATATACGTAAAAGCGAAACTAAAACGTTTAAAAGAATGATGATGCGCAAATGGTCCATAAACATATAGGCAATAGTTTGACCTTTACACGGGAATATCTGAAGGCCCAACACTGATTGATCGAAAGCACAATGACTGTGTTGTGTAAACCTGAAAGTTTACATTTTGTCACGTGTCACACAAGAAACCATAAAGCCCAGATAAATAAACAAATAAAAGGCTGTAAAATGGAATCAATTACCACCATTGTAACCAAATTAAATGTTTGGGAACTTTAAAATGTGTTTTCTTTTTTCCTCAAAACAACTATAAATCTCTTCTTGCATTTATTGCTACTCTAACTGGGCAAATAAGCATACATTTTAGTTTAACTTGTTTTTTTTCTTCAATATTTAGTAATAGTGTGTGTGTGTGTATATATATATATATATATTATTATTATATTAGCCTATTTGTAAAATTATGATTCAGTATGTTTCGAGTATGGACATGGGATGTGCGCTTTTCTATTTAACGTCATATTAAAGAACATTTATTCGCACAATTCATAATCACAACTACAAAATCGCCCTACAAAATAATTAGAAGTCTAAGTTTATACAATTTAACATTAATAAATATCTCTGAATACGAATTTGAGCTGAAGAGATACAAAAGAAACGTGTTCATTATTCTACATTTGACTTTTGAGTTAAAGATGAAAATTAGATTTTCATTTTACACTTTTATTTGCATAAATTGTTAAAGTCGCTGTTTCGTCCAACAAGTGTACAAGGTAAATGACAATATTAAATGACTAAATAAAATCAACGTAAATTACAAGAATAGAAAACGTAATGTGACGCAAAAATGACAGCTAGTGTGCAAAACGTCAACTCCTGGTCTGTACATAAACGTTTTTAATATTCGTCTGGGAGACAAATGAAACTTTATATATTTAGGTAAACAATTTGTAATTAATACATATTTACAACAAATGATCTGAGAACTGTATGTATTTGAACGCAGTTCTGGCTTTGTTTAACGTGTCTAGTGCATGCAAATCTCTTAAAGCAGCAATTTCACAATAAATACAGATTTCAGTGTGACAGAAAACGGAAAAAGATTTTTTTTATATACAATACACTGAATATTTTTGACAATAAAGGACTTCTGAAGAGATGGAAGGAGCATACTGGTGGCAGTAAATAATCATCTTTTGTCTTTAAAGAAGCCTTTATCTGTGCTACTCTCTTTGATTGTTACAGTCAGGAAGTTTGACGTCACATCAGTAACTATGACTTTCTCCACATTGCTGAAGGAGGGTCTCCAAGCATCTCCCTCCTCTGGCTCTCCAAATATGCGTGACACTGGAATTTTGGCAATAAGTGAAGGGTGTCTGCTGGTGGAATCAGCATGTTCAAATATTCTTCGTTTTGAATGGTACTTCAGGTGTTTATGATGAAAGTGGCTTGTCTGTGGATTATTCCTGCATCCCTGTAAGTCTGCACTAACTCTGCTGGAATGCAAACTCCACTCTGGAGAAATATGCTGGGTACTCCTGCTTGGAACAACTCTGTTTTGTTTGTGTGAATAGGTAGCATCCATGTGCTTGTGAGATATCTTAATTCTCCCACTTATTTCTGAACATCTCTCTTCCTCTTCTCCCAAACCTAACTTTGCCATTTTGGAAGGAATGCTTGCCATGGTTTCGTCTGCTGCTCTTTTTAAATGCTCTGGATTTAAGGAGCTTGTATAGCCATCTGTGAAGCGTAATTTGGGCTTCCGTCCTCTCTTTTTTGGGGCGAGGGTAAATGCATCAGTGCTGGGTCTGGGTGAGTGTGGAGAACGATGTTCCCTTGGTTCTGGAGGTGGAATCCTTACACTCTCCCCTCGGTTGACTGTGCTGGGAGGGAAAATTGAGGGAACTACAGCACGTAGTCCCTCTCTTGCTCTAGGGGTTACTACAGGCTCTGGACTGGGATATGTAATGCCTCTGAATGATTCATTTCTAAATTCGTAAGACTTTGCCTTTTCTTTAGTTTGGGCCTGTAAAATGTAATGATTTTGAAAAATTAGTGCAGAACTCAAAATGATGCCCTTATATAAAATGTATTCATTTACACAGACAAAAAATTGAGTGCAAACACAATAACTTTTGTGAAGATTAAATGAAAAAAAATGTATACACAATATAGATAATAATAATCATCTTGGTGAAATTGTTTATTTGTTAATAAATAAATTACATTAACCTTTAGAAGAAAAGTCTTGAGCTTAGGTCCTCTTTTCTTGGGTCCAAATATTTCTCTCTCACGCTCCCTGCATGAAAATGCAAGCGCATGTGTGAAAACGTCTGTATTTTCGGCCGCCTAATAGTTTTACTACTTCTTTATTTATTTATTGTATACCTCTCTTCAAAGGCAACGAACAGGCGCGAGTCTAGGATATTTTCCTCTGGTTCCCAAGTACTGTACCTGTGAGAACAAAAAAGTTTCACGTGATGACTGTCAATCTCCTGCCGCATTTAAACCACTGCTCAGCTAGCAGGGCCAGCTAATGTTGCCGCATGCCATCTGCCAAAACCAGTCTGCGCTGTAGTAATAACCAGCATGTTAACCTACCACTGGATGTACGCCCCTCACGATATCTAGCAGGGTTGACAGCATCACTGTCACCAAAACACCAGCAAGGCACAACAGACAGGATGGACATGTATTACTCACTTGGGTGACCAGCCCTTCCATTTCACGAGATATTCCATTCGACCCTGCGCGTGCCATCAGACACACACACACACACAAAAAAAAATTCGTTAGCGCGAGCCGACGACATTAGCACTTATACGCAAAAAATGTCGAGATATATCTCACACAGCACATACCCGTCGTATTCGTCTCTTGATGATTGATTCGGCCGCGAACACCCTCTCTCCGACAGCCGACAGCTCCATGTTTACCTTCGTCTACCGTTAGCTTGCAGCGTTAGCTAGCTGTGAGCTTCAGAATTCCATACAGCCCATAATACTCTCGTGCACAGCCAGACGTCATCACGTTCGTTAGCATGTTGCCTTGGCACCGCTTGTAGGGGGAAAGATTTGGAGGCCGTTTATTGGCTCCGCTGTTGCTAAGTGGCCGGGGCTTGCTCTTAGTGACATATCTGTATTCTTGACAGAAATATGATAAGATCTGGTCAATACTTAATTGAACACATCAGAAGGTTAAAGTTCCATCGTAAACGTTACGCCAAGACTACAGGAAAACGTAATCAATTTAACGTTAGCGGAACAAGGACGTGTATGCTATAGGCAACATATTTTCTCAAACAGGCTATTTATTAGCTATTTTGATATAGGCTACTGTACGTTTGTTATTATAGGAAAATGTATGCCATCTTATTCTGATCAATATTCTGCTATTCACAAGACTATTTTACTAATCCCGCCAAAATCAAACATGAAGTCTTTATCCACAACAAACTAATCATGGATGGAAATGAATATTGGTTTGAATATGAGTTCTACGGCAGAATAACAGCCTGTACAAAATGATTGTTTCTTTTCGTGTCTTATAGGCTATGCGTTTTTTAAAAGCCGTTAAATAAACAGAACGGGCTGAATTTGTGAATATGCTAATGATTATTTAAATTATAAGGTAACCTACTTTGCCACGTTAGATTTGTGTTACTTTTTTTTATAAAAAACAAAACAAAACAACATACTTATGTTTTATCCAGTAGCCTACATTTAGCTCACACGTCTGCTCAAAATGACTAAAGAATATTTAAGTTTGTATTCAACTATGGCTCTTTCGAAAATAAAAAATTTTAAATAAATACAAATTAATTGATTTACATTTTTGCATGTCAAAATTAGAATAAAAATCAAACTGATTAAACAGCGCCATTGTAGATTTATATTTTATACTTTGTTTATTTATTTATTTATTTAAATACCAATTTAATTACTGAAATAAAGTTACAAGATGATACTAATATCTTATTAGTTATTACAATACGCAAAAGATGACAACAACGCTAACTTTTGCTAAAGACAACTAAACCAAGAAAAATACAGCACAATAATGCGAATGGAACATTTCATAAATATGAACTTTTTATTAACAAGAGTTACTAAATGCACTACAATAGGTAACCTCTTAAATGGTTCCCCTAACAACGAGGCCAGACTTGTCTCCATTAACATCGCTTTTTTTTTAGATCAAACAATTGTTTTTATTTATTTCATTCTAGGCTATTTATTTATGTTATTTTTTTATATTTAAATTTTAGAATAAAGGATGAAGATAATATAATTGTATGTATTGTATTAAAATAAATATAAAAATATACTTTTATAATTGGGTGTTCCCTATAGCCTAATTCGATTAAAAAAAACATTGTTGGTTTAACGAAAAATATATTTTTAAATATAACATTTTAGATTGGCTATAAATATAATTAATTTTACCTAAGCATTGAAATTGCAAGCAAACATTAATACCAGCTACACATATGAAGGAAAAACAGTCATTCATGTATTGCATTTAATCATTCACGGCCACATAAAAGCCTGTTATCGAAGCGTTTCCGAAAATGTTTACCAATCTTATGCTCCGTTCTGCACAATCACTTGGGTTTCAAACAGGGCATGTCAGGTAAAAAAAAATCCCATATATAGGCATAGCTAAATTATGACAAATATGTTCCTGTGAGAATTTTAGACATTATCAAATTGTAACAGGCGTTTAAATGTAACATCATAGCTATATTTGGGTCTATAAACAATAATATTTTTTAAATAATATCTTACAACTTTAAAAACGAAAATGAACGATATATTGATTGTTCACTTTGTGGCTTGTAAATTAAGTTTATACTAGGGGTTTATTCGGTGAGTAAAGATAATA